GCATAGAGATTGTATTGGAAGCCATGTGAGGTTATTAACTGACCAAGGGAGGAAGTGCAGATGGAGAAGAGAAGGGTTCCAAGGACAGAGCCTTGGGGGACCCCTACAAAAAGAGGAAGAGGAGGGGAGGAGTTAGATTTGTAAGTGACACTAAATGAGCGCTTAGATAGGTAGGAGGAGAACCATGAGAGGGCAGAATCTTATAAGCCAATCGAATGGAGTTGTTTGAGGAGGAGCGGGTGGTCAACAGTGTCAAAAGCAGCAGAAAGGACTAATAGCAAGAGTAAGGAGTAGTGGCCATTGTTTTTAGCAGTTAGTAAGTCATTAGTGAGTTTGAGAAGGGCGGTTTCAGTGGAGTGTAGAGGGCGAAAGCCAGACTGTAAGGAGTCAAGAAGGTTGTTATCAGTGAGGTTGCGGCTCAGGCGGCAGTTGTAGATAAGGCGTTCTAGGAGTTCAGAGGTAAATGGGAGTAAGGAGATTTGTCTGAGATTGATAAGGTTTGTAGGATCCAGTGAGGGTTTTTGGGGTATTGGGGTGACCATGCATGCTTTAGAGGGGAGGGAAAGATATCAGTAGAGAGGGAAAGATTAAAAATGTTAGTAATAGAGTGTAGGATAGAGTGTAGGATAGAGTAAGAGGGTGACCGAAGTAGTGGTGAGGGAACAGGGTCGAGGGGACAAGTGGTAAGGTGGGTGTCAGAGAAAAGCTTTGTAACCTCCTCTGTGGTGACAGGGTCAAAAGAGGAAAGTAACAAGTGTGATGGTGGGTCTGGTACATTAATAGGGGAAGATGACTGGACAGTGGCAATCTGATCCCAACTTGTATCTATTTTGTTTTTTAAATGAATGGAAATGTCCTGGGCAATGAATAAGTTAATGGGTGGTGGCAATGGGGGACATAGTAGAGAGTTAAAAGAGTTGACGAGGTCTGGATGAGAGTGTGTTAATGAGAGTGACAAAATAAGTCTGTTTGGCATCATGGAGGGAGGAGTTATATTTTAGGAGGTAAGCTTTGTACAGGGTGAAGTCATGCAGAGACCTATATTGACATTTTAGTCGACTAACTAAAACTAGACTAAAATGTTAGGGAGAGATGATTTGGGAAGAGATTCAATCAGAACTAATCTCTTTGGACTTCCAGTTCCAGTTCCATCCTGAATGATCGGCTAATAGGTAATATGTACAATGGCATTACAGCCAATATAGTTTTTCATTATAATATTTTAGAGTTGTACTCTGCTTGAAAGAATGAAGAATGTCATATGCAAGTTGTTCTAATCAATGCATATCTAATTACTGGTCCTTTGCTGAAAATACTCAATATTATTGTTTCTTTATAAGACTTGGTTTAATCTAATTTTAAGATAAATAAAAACATGTTGTATGTCACAGCAGTTAAATCTGTGTCTCTATTGCATGTTCAAACCTTAATACCATAAGTAATAACAGGTTAACAGATGTTTACTCCAGTAGTATATCATGAGATTGGAAATTCTAGAGAAATTCCTAAATTACTCTTTAACTAAACCCACTAGATTTTAGTAGACTAAATCTACTGTGTTCGATATTTAGCCGACTAAAACTAAAACAATCCAGATGACTAAAATATGACTAAAACTAAATGGCATTTTAGTCAAAAGACTATGACTAAAACTAAACCAACATTTTCTGTCAAAATGAACACTGTTTAACACAAATTGTTGAAACAGTTTAGACAGGCTAGATAAGTGTGTTAGATAATTTTTTTACATTGTATTGTTCTGTGGACAGTCCTACCCATGCATACTTTACTTTAAAAAGCTAGATATAAATTGATAAGAGCAAGTTCCATTTTTACTATGCCTGCATCATTATAAGCCTGGTTGGCTTAATCCACAAATTACCCGATGAGTGACAAGTGAACATAAAGATTGCTGCCATGAACCTCATTGCGTTTACATGCAATGGAGGGAATTTATCTAAACTGGAGCAGACAGAATCTGGAGCAGTTGTCCATGGCAGTCAATCAGCTTTTCTCTTCAGTGTGCTCAGTAAAGCTTTAAAAATAAAATATAGAAGCTAGATGCTATGGACAACTGTTCCAACTGCTTAATTTGTTAATTATTTATTTTAACATTTTACTGCATACAAAAGTAAAAAGTACAGAAAAAAGGGTACAGGATAAAGAGTGTGTACAGAGCATATGAAAATAAAGTCGTATAAAAAAAATGTACAGCAATACCCGGTACATATGAACATCAATCCCGGCATTCCTGCAGTGCGACTGCATGCCGCCTGGGAACATCTGCCCTGTAAGCTGTAGGGTCGCACATTGCCCTAGGGCAAAGGAAGTGTTTTCTGGGTTTTGTGCTAGAACAGACGATCACTAAGCATCTTATGACCCCTAATAGCAGTAATGGCTTTAACACAGCATGTTCCGTATAATATGCTGCCAATATATCATATATGCACCTACACAGTACTGTGCACCCGAGAGAAAGATACAGGAGATCTGCTCCAGTTTTGATAAATTCCCCTCAATGTACCTCTAGCACTCTCTTTGTTAACCCACCCAAGCTTTTCACTACTGTGTCACACTTAAATGTGTAAATGTGCCTTTGTTGTTATTTTAAAGATATGGGTAAAGGTCCACTTTAAGTACCTTTTTCAGCACCAATTTAATTGTGAAGATATTATAAATGCCTTTACAAGATAAAGGTTGGTGATATTAGCTTTTGCTATTAAATTTCAACCAAAAAAAAAATATTTTGCACACTGAGTGTGTTACTTTACTTTTGGATAATCCAAGGGTACTTACCACAAAGTGATATTATGTCTTTTAAAGGGTGGAACTAAATTCCTAAAAAAAAATATGTTCTGTTGCTCGTCATGAGGAGAAGGGAGAAGAAAGAAGCTCATCAAAGCAGTAAAATAATACAGGGATTGCCAGTCTACATTAAAGCAACATAGATTGTGCTAGAGATGGCCCAATTGCTTTTTTGGCTCACTTGGCAATTTGCCAAACTTCCTATGTTGGCTTTAACATTGTCACAACAAATGGCAGAATGGAAACTACAAATGGGAGCATGAACGGCAAAGCAAAGTTGGAGTGCATGTATAGTTTCTCCCTGTTGGGGAGATTACCCATCATTTCCTGTACCAGAGATGTAACAGTAAGTGAAATAAAATCTCCCCAAAGTGAGAGAAATTCTTCTCTTAGATAGTTGTCACTGAAACAGGTGTCTCCATTAGCTTAACCTCTCCTTTTTTTCTGGTGACAACTCTAAGATAAGACTCCTATTCTGCAATAAGCTAGAATGAGTGAAATCTTGATGCTTTGGTAAAAGAACATAGAAACATACAATCAATTTATAAAACATGTAAATATAGTGTGAGCTCACAAATACAGAGAGAAACCAGTCCATTCATATCAGCGATGCTGCCTATGAGGGATTTAGGCTCTTTTCTTTAGACACATGCTGTGGTTGGCAGTGGATTCCTCTTTATAAAATGCAACCTGAACCCCTAAGATGCTTGTATTGAAGCTGCTGTGAATAGATAGTGGAGCCTGCAGCGGTCACATGGAAAGATAGTAAGTTCGGGCACATGGGAGACATTGGGACATGTAAATCCACTAGGGCACAGTTTACCTTAAAGCTGGAAATGCATTAAGGTTAAAAATGCCTAACACCAAGTATTACTTTAAAGGAGAACTATGAGGTTAAGGCTTTTCCCCATAGTTCACCTTAGGGTAACGGGAGGACACAAACTAGCGTCCTCCCGTCACCCTAGGCTCAGTATACCGCGAGCTGTAGCCGCAGCTGAAGCGGATCCTGACAGAGGCAGAGCCAGCTGTACCCGCCCCCTCCCCCGTCCGTTCCACCAGTCAGCGTTCGCACCAGTCCAGCCCCTCCCCTGTCACGGCAGAGAGCCGTGACAGGATCGAGAGGTGAGCGAACACCGGTATGTGCTCGCTCACCTCCCGATCTACTGAGCCGACCTGTGACAGTTTAATTGTCACAGGTCGGCTAGAACTATGAGGTGAGTGAAAAGCACTCACCTCATAGTTCTCCTTTAAAGTATCACAAAAATAATTCAGCTTCATACCCTCAAGTCAGCTAAGCACTTCAGGGCTATTCAGCTGTCAACCAGTTTAGAGACTGGGACAATTAGTGACAATTTTGAGACAAATCTCCTTATGAAGGCATTTAAAGTGACACTAAACTCAGGAGTTAAATCTTAAAAATACATTCAAGTACCTTAACTATTAAAAGAATGTATCTTATTTGTGTATCACTCGGCTGTAGATGCTCAAATCATCTCTGAATTGGTGCTGACACTGTCCTTCCTTCTGGAGGGTGGCTGCTTTTGTTCCCCATGGTCCCTGTGTGTTATGTAAAGTTGTCACCACTCCAAGCTCACTCCTGTGATGTACTGTAACTTAGTTAGTAAACTAAACATGGTTGGAGCGGTGGCTACTTTACCACACACAGGGACTATAGGGAACAAAAGTAGCCACCCTCCAAAAGGATTTAGCTTCATTTTGAACGAGATTCGGATGATCCGAAATTTGGGCAAAAGAACATTTGGATTTGTTTGTATTCGGCCTCATTAGAATTTGGACGCAGCCAAATGTCGGAATTCACAAAATTACGTTCAAATTTGCCTTTGGAACTAAATAAAAATGTACATGTCTAATTAAGTGTGATGCTGCTGATAAATCAGAAGAAGCCAAAATAAATCTTGGGATTTACAGAATCTCAAACCGTATTATTACAGGTGGTAGAATTAATCCCAAAATGTATGAGACATTTGCAGCTCCCAAATCACATCACAGATATCGCCGCCGATGGATGGCGTAGCACCACAACCAGTTTCTAAAAACTGCACCTTTTTACATCTTTGCTCATCGCTAAGACAACTGTGATTGGCCACAATCATCCTGAACTGATCACGACTCTGCTCAGAATTTGTACCAGACCCTGTTGGCTTGCAGCTACGCCTCTGCCTATGTCTCCCCCATCCATCACTTTGTTACTGCATTATTCTCATGCCAGGGAAGGAGAATCTGAGCCTCAGCCTTAATATTACATACGCTAGGCTGGAAATATTCCTGCGTCTGGCTCAGGACTCGCTCTGTCTGCGAGGAGAAATGCATACTGAAAAGAATTCCCGGCATCTCTCTGTCAGCTTTTAGTCCAATAAGAAAGACATTCACTCAGCAGCAGCACATGCTGCAGCCTCCCTAGTCTGGCTCCTTTCTGAAGGATCAGGACATCTGCAGTTACAAGAAAGGCGTGCAGGGGCCTGGACTGCCTCTCCTGTGCAGCCACTGCCTTACTCAACACACACAAAAACTGCACCCACTTGCTGATCTCCTTCACCCAGCAGCATGGCCACAGGGAAAAACCATCAGCATGGCAAGTATAATGGATCACAAGCAAGCCCTTCATTAACTCCTGAATACACTGAGGAACTGCATGTTAAGATGTGCAAGAAGATTGCTCAACTAACTAAGGTAGGAAAGAGCCTCACTTAGCGCAGTGTCATTAATGTCAATTATAAGATGCAGGCTTTGTAATATAGTATTTGTATAATGTATCATTATAGTTATATTTACGGAAACCAAGGTAGATTGCATTCGCACCACCGGGGTTGGCTCATCCTGTAGTAATACACCATCCTCTGGTATTATTATAACCCTTATTATTTATTTATCACCAGTAAGGATGCTAAAAACAGTGCACACATTAGTCACCAGCAGAACTTACAATCTAATGTCTCTACCACAACCATAAACAAGCACACTGACATAACTGAGCTGCCTGGCTTTTGACTCCACTGCATCTAGTGATCTCTGAAAAATGATTGCACTTAACTTAATGACTAGATGGATAAGGCATTGATTCGGCCGCTGATATAGGACAATGTCATTTATACCGAATGGCCGATACTTAGGTTGATTGTGGTTAATACGAATTGTTAATTATGTTGAAGAATATTGTATGTGAGTGTGTTTAGAACTTGCAGCTACCTAAAGCATTTTCTTTATTTTTATTATTTTTTAAATTTTTGTTATATAAAGTATGAAAGATGATTTCTGATGAGTTACTACATATTAGTGCACTTTGCATATTGCTCTTTATAAAAAGGTAAATGTGTGTATTTATCTTGTATTAAGCTTATATATTAAGCTTGTCCCATTCTGTCATATGTTAGCTGACTTCTAGCGGGTCACTCATATGTTGGTGTTTATAACCAAAGGTCCCATGTGAATAATAGAATATTATTTTCTGAAAACACATTTTGATATATAGTATGTGCAACACGAAAAACAGTGTAACTAGTGGATTTAAAAAAAAAGTTTAGACTGGTGCAGAGGCATTGCAGTACAATTATCAGGTAAAAAAAAAAAAAGATTTGTAAATTAAGATAGTTTGTCGTACAAAATAAAATAAAAAAAGAAAATATAAAAGAAAAATATAATAAAGGCTTTCCTCAGCTAAGAAACTACACGGATAGCATCGTATACTGCATGTGTGGTAGTAAATGTTAGGCAAGCTTGCGCATTGGTGTGATAAACATTTACATCAGACACTGACACCCTGTCAACTAGCAACTAGGGGTGCATGCTGGGACTTATAGTTCCTTTGCTGTTCTGCTGCAGTATGTGTAGCCAGTTGATGATGGGCCAGTTTCTTTTCTGAAGCATATGAATGATTCAGACTTTTAGGAATAAAATATGTTCCTGAATAGTGGAGCCATGCAGCTATGACATAAATGTATACAAATATAAGGGGGAGAACCATATAGCTGGTTATTACAAGTATTGCTTTCCAAATGGCTCTGAATCTGGGTCTCTAGGCACCGTTTCCAGATCCTGAACAGTGACCAGTAATTCTCAGAAAAGAGGATTCCGCAGAACAGAATCTTGTGACCAGAAGCTGCAGCCCCACCCTGCAATGTAAAAAGCTTGCTGCAAGGTTATATATTAGTGTTTCTTAACCAGTGTGCTGCCTGAGGCTACCAGGGGTGCCACGGCACAGTCCAAACAATCTCTATTTTGTTAAGACCGGAGGCCTCAGAGTCTGCAGATAGCCAAGTCATCCTGCAGCGTGCCACTACGGCCACACTGACACCCCTGTCTACTGCTGACACCTGGATTAAAATTCATCACCAGGTCTGTCCCTACACTATTCACCCCCTAAGGATGCTCACACAGAAACATAAAAAAGCCAGATTGGAGTTAGCCAAAACTTACCTGAGGAAGCCAAAATCCTTTTGGGAGAATGTGCTGTGGACAGACGAAACAAGATTACAGCTTTTTGGTAAAGCCAAATTCTACTGTTTTCAGAAAAAGAAATGAGGCCTTTAAAGAAAAACATACAGTCCCTACAGTCACACATGGTGGAGGTTCACTGATGTTTTGCGGTTGCTTTGCTGCCTCAGGCACTGGATGTCTTGACTGTGTGCATGGCATTATGAAATCTGAAGACTACGAAAGAATTCTGGGGTGCAATGTAGGGCCCAGTGTCAGAAAGTTAAGTCTCCGTCAGAGGTCTTATATTACAGCAGGACAATGACCCAAAGCAAACGTCAAAAAGCAATCAGAAATGTCTAAACATTTGTAATTGCAACAATTTTGTGCGTAAAGTGGTGCATTCTCTGACAAAAATGCAGGGGTGCCAATATTTTTGGCCATGACTGTATGTGGGAATGGTTTTAAATGCAAAATTATCAGCCAGCAGTGTAATTTAGGCACCCCTGCCAGGTAGCATGGCTACATCCTTGACCTCCAGTGCTGCAGCACATAGAGTGTTCAAGAATATATTCCGACCTTACTAAGTGAACAATTAAGGAATGACAACTCACCACTACTATCTTCATTCTGCTCTTTCTTCCTTTTAACATGTTCCCTGTCAACCCATGAGCACCTGTTTGGCTCCGAGTGCTGGCACTACCTTTCCAAATTTGAATGTCACTGCACAGAGGATTTAGACACTTAAACTTATTGCATTTAAAGGCCAAGTTTACCTTTCTGACCATTTTTCATATCACATGCTTATTTAGGGTGTAACATAACACATGGTCAGATTGCAGATCACCCTCCCACCTCTACCAATTGGTCCAGCTACAAGTAGCAGTGCAAGGTCCTGTGTAAGCTACAAGGTGCTATAGTTGTAACTTATATAGGGCTATGGACTACCCATGTGACACTACTGATTGACCCAGACACATGTATTTATTCACAAGTTCACCTATACCTGGAAGTACCAGTTATTATCTTGGGAGTAAAACAAATGTAATTATATGGTGGGAGTAATTGGAGGATTTAATCAAACCTGCTGCTTGTCCCTGAATGGGCAAAGCACTGGTTTGCTTTAACAATTGTCATTGTTAGGGTTATCCAGAGCAATTAGATTCTTACCTCTCCTAATATTGTGAACGTGGAGTGAATGTGAAAAAACCCCCCACAGGAGAAGAGATTTGCTCTTCTCTGGGCAACACTAAACATTAAATCACATAAGGTTTTTTAACAGGATTGTAGTTTATGAGCCTGAAATGTTCAGAAGTGGAAACATTACATAGGTCTCATTTACATGTGCAGTAGACTTTACCACCCCTCTGAAAGGTGATTCATTGTGGACCTCTTTTCAGAGGGCGGTAGAGCAGTGGCTTCCAGGCATTCAGGAGGCAATACTGCCACCTCCTGAATACCTGCTTTTAGTTTTTTATCCTAGGAGGAATTCTACACTGAACTACTGTGCTGCAGCTGCGTGCCAAACGCTTGGTACATATTTGCAGCATGGTTGTGGCACACAGAAACACCTGTCGAAAGCATCATCCTGTCTAAATTTCCCATGCAAAGCAAAGCATTGTGGTCGCGGCAATGTGTGCAGCACTGTCCAGCTGCAATGGTAGCTTTACAGCGGGGGAGCAACCTCCTGGTTTTTACTGCCCCTTGGCCGTATGTGTGAACGGGGCCTTACTGGCAATCAAGTAAGACTGATGCATTCCAAGACCACATTTTTTTTATTGGTTTTGAGTAAACAATGGTTACCCCTGCCAGGTTTTTATTGCTGCCTGTGCCCCTGCTGGGAAGTTTTACTTGCTCTTTGTATCCTGTGACCAGTGGCGTAACAATCACCATAGCGACCCAGGTGGCCGCAATGGGGCCCGGGGCACAGCTAGGACATTCCTGATGCCCGGCGGGCCGCCTGGGTCTCTATGGAATCTCACACTGCTGGCTGTCACTGGCGGCTGTGAAGAGAAATGTGCAGCTGTTCAGATCGCTGACAGTGATCTGTGCAGCGGCGTGTTCCTCTCCACAGCCACTGCTGAGTCAGTGAGAGCCAGCAGTGGAGGAGGAGGTGAGGCCCAGGGTTGGCATCAGAGGAGGATGCGGGGCCCGGCGATGGGGAGGGGCGGGCCCGGTGACGGGCAGATGAGGCGGGGCTAATCAACGACAGTGGAGGAAGAGGAGGCGGACAGGTAAGGAGTGTGACCAGCCCACCTGAGGGTCTATGGTGGGCTCTGCAGGGTCACCCTCAGGTGGGCTGTGTGGGATCTGAATTGGGCTCTGCAAGGGGTGTAACTAGAGATCAAAGGGGCCTCATACTAAATTTTGCTATCGGGCCCTGTGAATTCTAGTTACGCCCCTGCCTGTGACCAATGTTTTTTTAAAAATCCAACAGGGTTATTCACAAAAGGGTGAAGAGTTTGGAGAAGGCAGGAGAAGTGAACAATCTAGGACAACATAGCTGATTTGGAAAGTGAGCTGAATTGGAGAATGTTTCCAAATCAGCTATTTTGGCCTAGATTGTTCACTTCTCCTGCCTTCTCCTAACATTTCACCCTTTTGTGGATAACTCTGCAAGATTTTGAGTTGTTACCAGTAAAGGAATAGAGGGGAAAGCTTCCAATAGTGACAGCTGTCAATGGTGGCACTAATATATTATATACCTCTTAAAGACTAAAGGTGGCCATACATTGTACGATTTGCATTCTGAAATCATACACGAACGCTCTTTTGAACGAAAATTCAAAAAATGGTACATCACTGATTTTTATTTTTGATATTGTGATCAAAATTTTTAGATCGGTCAGGGTGGAAAAGTTTTCTCTGACCGAATGAAAATCGATGAATCAGTGGGGTTTTCGTTCATCAAAAATCGTAGCAAAAACCCAGCACATGCGCAAAATGAAATTATTTCCATTGTTCGTCAAAAATTGGTTGGTTAGTACGGCTAACGAACGATTTCTGAAATCGATGTTTTACTATGCTTGATGGGGAAGTCTAGGTATAATCGAATGAGGGTTCGTACTAGAAACTAAAATTTCAGACTGAAAATCTTCTAGTGTATGGCCACCTTTAGGGGTCTATGTAAAAATTTTGTCATACGAGTTACATAACTTTCACCCAGGATTCACATTTTTTTTCCAATAGAATCCAATTAGAAAAGTATGTGAATTTTGGTGAAAACATTTATAAACAGACCGCTTAAGCGGAATGTCAGT